CTTTATCTAAAGAAAATACAAGTTCTTAGCATTGACAGTTTAGAATAGAACAGGACTGAGTCATAATTGGCAGAGGTGGAAGCAACAGTTTTAAAACAGTTGTAAAAGCAACAGTTTTACACTTCTGCAAAGATGTGCGAAGCATGAACTACAGGTGTCACTATGATCCTCTGAAGACCTAATTTCAAACAACATTCTGCAAAAGAACTCTTTTCTGAAGCAAATTATGCTGCTGCAGGTCTAAATATTGCAGGGCACCGAGAGTACATCTTCAAAACCCTCAGTTCTCTGTGGCACTGTGTCAAAAAGGAGTTTCTGTTCTCAAAGCCTTTGTTGTGCAGTTGGAAGTAAGGGGATTATACAGGCAGAGAAATAAATAGGTACAAAGCTGAATACAATCTCACTGCCAGAAGATTAAAACAGTGGCAGAGGTACTTCTCAGTACTCAAGTGACCCATGTTATTTTGAAGGTATGATCCTGGAGTTCATTCAGACTTTGCATTCCCTCTTGTTCTGTTGGCAAGTTGAAATAACAGGAAGAAGCTTCCCTTGTGCTCTCTTGATCAGCTTGAGTAATCCAAGTGACAACTCTGTGATGAAAGGTGAAGCAGTCAAAGAGAACTCAAGAAGTTCAGGGAGAAGCAGAGGAGTTAATGCATTGACTGGAGTGACTTAACTTTCATGGAAGAATGGAGGAGACATAAATGAATGAGTGCCCTTTTCTGCTTCTCTTCATTTCATTGTCCTGTTATGACAAGGTCAAACAAGATTATATGTTCATAATGTCAGAACTCACATATATTTTTAAAACCAAGTTCTGTCTTTAATAAGAAATCTATGGTAAGCACAGTTGCAGGTAGCATCCCAGCATGGGGTGGCAGACTGGCTTATTTTTTCACCTTTTCTCTTGCAACATTTGCTGTCCTTGCTGAGTTTTTATTTTTATTATTTTTAAAATTTTTATTTACTGAGGAGTATTTTTGTGAAGCTTTAAACTATTCAGGGGATCTGCAGGGATTTAGAGGTTATCAGCTCATCAATGAAAAATTATTCTGCTCTCTCCTGATATCATGTTAAGTTTTGGTCCTCTTTTGGTATGCAGTACCCTACCTCATTCTTGTTCATATCATTGCTGATCGTACGTCAGTGGCTCCACTCCTGTTGCTACCATCTTTCTTTTGTCATCTTCTGGTTTCTTTCATGACTTAAATTTTGTTTCTTCTACATGTTGCAAATTGAGTGTTTTTCTAGGTCATCCTGGTCATGTTTGACTCAATGAAGCAAATAGTTTTATGAATATATTCACATTTGTGCTTGGGTTTCTGCCAGCGGTGCCTGACTCTGTAGCCAATCTGAACTTGAATTGCACTGAGTCCGCATTCATGGATGCTACAGTTTCATCCTTTTTCTTGAAAATAAAGCTATCTTTCCTAAGCTAGTATTTCATAGAATCATAGAACAGCTTGGTTTTTAAAAGAACCACAATGATATCTAGTTTCAATGTCCCTGTTCTTGACAGGGTTTCCAACCACCAGACCAGGCTGCCCGGAGCCATATCCAGTGTGGCCTGGAATGCCTCCAGGGATGGGGCATCCACAACTTCCTTGGGCAACCTGTTCCAAAGTGTTACCACCCTCTGAGTGAAAAATTTCCTCCTAGTAGCTAATGTAATTCTCCCATGTCTCAGTATAAAATCATTCCCACTTGTCCTATTGCTATGGACTAAGTAAACAGTCACTCCCCTTCCTATTTACATACTCCCTTCAAGTACTGGAAAGGGAGACCATTCTTTCCAAGTCAACTTGCTGAACCGCTTCACTCCTTATGTACTAGGTCTCTCATTGCATTACACATGGAGAAAGGAGGGGATTCTAAACCTCTTGGTGAAATAAGATCTTTGAGACCTCAGATGACACAGAGATTTCCAAGGTTAGCATTTGTGGCAGAATCCAACAGCAGATAGTATTGATTTGTCCTAATTTCTCTAGGGAAAAGGAAGTGAGTGGAAGAGGGATCCTGTGCTTCACAGCTGGAAGTGAGAGAAGTTTGTGTTTCCTTTCCGTTGGTCCCAGAAGATCCAATCTCATGATTCACTTTCTAATCTTCCAGTAGGGTTTGATCTGCATCCCAGCTTTAAAAAAAGTGTAGAACTACTTCAAGCAGTTTAAAAAAGCATGGAGTTAGTGATGGATTTCTGTTAAATGTCTAAAATCGGTATGTTCTGGAGGTCAATATCATGGCTAGACGTGACACTTGAAATTACATAGCTGTGTTCTTGCAGGTGACAAGTTAAGAGGTAGAGGAGTAGGTACTGGCTCAAATGCAGTGTTTTTTGGGTTGGGGTTGCAACACTCATCTATCCATCCATCCCTCTGAATGTAATTGCTCAGTGGCTTAAGAATAATTTTGGGCATCAAAGCTGGAGTGATTACTGAGTGAGAGAATAGCTCTGTACATTCAAATCCCACATGTACTGAAAGAATATATCCCTTACATCTGGGAAGAAGAGAGAAGATGAACATAGGTGTGAAAGCACAACATATTATTTGTGCTGTTATGCCTAAGCAAAACAGGTCTTCTAATGAAAAAATGGGTCATCAGCCAGCGACAAACTACCATGCCAGACACTTTGCTAGGGTGAAATACATGACATGAAATACATGACATCCCTAACTGCCTGCTTACTATTTTTCCTTTACTGTTATCTCTCTGGAGCTCACTGCTTTTATTTATTCTATTGCCTACAAGCATACTCTGTGTGTGAATTCTCAATTAGTCACTGTAATTATAATAATAATAAAAAGAAGCTGAAATGTGTTTCCCTGAAGTACAGATATTTATCTCTAGCCTGGGAAGGGACTAATTAATAACTGTTTGCTCTGTCTCTCAGCAATTTTAAGATTTAATTTTTGGCAGTGCCATTAGGTTATTTTTTTTTCCCCCCCACTCTCTTTCAAAACCTCTAGTTATGCAACTTCTAGACATAGGAAGAACTGTGGTTACTGACCTTTGTCCCCAAGATAGCTGCTTCCATATTAGAAAAACTTATTTTTCCTAGTTTGGTTTATTGTCTCAAGTAACATCTACAGCTTGCTAGCTCCTGAGCAAAGTTCAGTTTTTGGACTGGTTCTGTTTTTGAAATGTCTGTATTTTTCTACAAGCTTTTTAAAATATCATCAGTGGGTTTTTTTGATAGAAAAACAATTCCCTTATAGAATGCTGCTTTAATTAGCTGGAAACAAGTAAAGCTTAATAGGCAACAAGTCATCTATGAATCTCTTTTTGAGTAATTTTTCATTGTTATTAATGCTACTTATTAAAAAAAAACAAAAAACACAACATGAGTGGCTGGGAAATTGATAAAATAAATATAGATGCCACGGTGATAAAGGATGATGTAAATACTTTGGGTCAATCTGAGGTGACTAGGTAAAGAAACATGTTTTGTTACAGTTGATATGGCAACAAGGAAGAGAAGAATTTACTGTTTTCTGACGGCCATTGGCTGAAGTAGATTTAATACCTTTTTCTGTGAGAGGTAAAGAATGCTGCTTCTTCAGGTGAGCTCTTACTTCAAAGTTATGCATTTGTTAACAAGACACACTGGGATGTATCTTTCAGAAGGGAATATATTTGCCCTTTTAAGGGAGCTTCTGTTATTATCCCTTGATTAATTAATGTAACTGCTTATGTTTTTCTCTGTAAGACAAAGTTTGTTTTGATCAGGGGAGATTTCAGAGATCAGGCACAATAGTGAATCATCTGTAAAATATTCTAGAGATTTCTCGGTAATGATTTCATTGGCTTTAAACCAGCAACTCCTGCCAAAGCTGAATGTGTACAATTATAGTGTGCTTACCTGCAGCTGCAAAACAGGTGCTTTTACATCCAGAGAAACCTACACTGTTAAATTCAACAAGCAGAGTAACTGACCATGAAACTATCTGTTCAAGAGATGAATTGAAGCAGCAAGTCACTTACATTCTGACAGATAAAAAAAAAACTGCCAGAAATAGGAAATAAAAGTCATAGCTTTATACTTCCATTTTAAGAAATTCTGGTCAGTCTGCAATTTTCTATTTGGAACTAACATGAAAGTTGTCTTCATTAGTAGCATCATTATGTTCACAAAGTTCCTGCTTAAAAAAAAAAAAAAAAGTGCTGCAGTTATAGTTGTTAATAGGAAGCTTCTAACCCTGAAATTCTACATATCTTCCAGCATTTGAATCAGTATGTCTTTAGATTTTTTTTTTTTTTTTTTTAGAGGTTTCCCTTTACCATTAAGGTTTTGAACTTCATCAGAGCCATAGAAAGAAACATCAATCCTATTTTTGTTTTTGCTCCACTGTACACTAGAGACAAGGATATTAAGTTCTCATCCTGACTGGAAACCACCACTCCTTTGCATATACTTTTTAATAGGAAGAAATTATTGTCCTTTGTGCTTTGATCATATTGGCCTCATTAATTTGGCCTGTTTCTGTTTGTTCTTTCCTCAAAACATACATTTTTCTTGTCAGTTGAACTCCTCTCTGAGACTTTTATACTAGTTGGCTAATACTGCTTCTGCAGTATCAAATATTGTAATTACTTGTTTACTGGTTCATCTGACAAGTGACATATTAGTGAGTGAAATACTAACCAGCCTGACAAACACACCCAAACCGCCTCATCAAAATTTAAGGGTGGCTATTGTCAGTCTTCCTCTTCTTCTCACATGTATAAACAATGCTGTGGAAATTCATCCTGCTTCACAGATATGTACAGGCTGTTAACAGCAAATAACATGAGATTTAAAAACTCTGTCTCAGAGACAAACCTCTGAGATAACTAATGGTATGGTGGAGACACCTAATAATTCCTTTCACTTGTTTGAAAAGTAGGCAGAGATCAATCCCTTTAAATGATGGCACAAGGACTTCTCTCTGTAATAGGTTCCATTGAAAGCATCTGTTTAGACCGGACTCTGCTTGGGATTGTACCACTTCTTGTGGCACAGCAGCTTGTGACCTCTCCTAAAGGATCTAAAGCACTAATGGTGTAATAGCTCAATTATTTTTCAGGTAACTTGTGCAACCAGCTGGGAGCTATGGTTGGGAAAGACATTTTTCCTAGAACAAAAAGGGAACCGAACAACAGGCATCTGTATACAGATCCAAAGTTCATGGGCTGGAAAGCTAAGGATAGACTAAAACAAGCTGTACATTAGTGGATGAGGTACGGAATTTCTCAGTTCTTCCTCTTATCTTGATGGATTTTAAATTTTCCATTTTCTCACATTTTAAAAAAGGAGTCATCTTGCATTTCTTCTCCTTGATGTTTGTTCTAACACAAGTTATTTGTGCATGGGTAAATTCCTTTTCTTAGTTTTTCTCAGTTGCCCTATTCAGCCTTGGGAGCGGATAGAATTCTATTTCAAACATATGAAACTACAGTTTTGGTAATGCGCTGCTTTTCTAATGGTGTGTAGAAAATGCTAAAGAAATGCATGAACTTAAGGTCAGCTGAGGACAGGCATCTAAATCTTGAACATGTTCACAGATGCTTGAAATGCAGACAGCAAGACATGTCCAGGGAGTGAGGGAGAAATAATGCTGGCTGAAGTGTGGGTATATTCCTTCCATATATTATAGCTAATTTGCTCCCATGGAAACATATTTGAAAGCTTATTTTAAACAGGCATTTTTTTTTACTGTCAACATTGCGTTTGGATACAACATTTTTCCCTTGAAGGAATGCTAGTATTTCTTTAGGGAAGCTGTGTGAAATTTCTCACAGGTAATCCACTACTCTTGTTGTATCTATTTGGTAAAAACAAACGAGGTAAAGCCAAAGAGTTAAGAATAATCTGATTAGAAAGCTCCTCTGGTTTTAAACAAGGAATTAAGAACCCATAACCACCCACACAGAGGTCAGTCTACACTACTAAATATTAAAACGAATTAATTCACTGCTCTGTTTCTTTTACAGAAGATTTTTCTACCTTTACATTCTTTCCTGTGGGGATGAACTCTGGGTTTTGACTCAAAGTTGCCTTCCTCACTCTCCAGAGCATCAGCCCACATCTTGTATCCTGGTTCTCACTTACCCCTGCAGAAATAGAAGCTAGTTATCTGCTTTTTGGGAGATATTCTAAAATATTCTTTCCTGTCCAGCTAATCATAATCTTACTTTTAGGTTTTATGCACTAATTCACTTAAATAACAGTTTTTTCTCTCTTTTTTTCCTGCAGATCTGGTGGGTACAGGTGTTTGTAGTACCTGGCTCCTTGGAGTCACAGTGGTGAGAATGGGATGGACGATTTTGCAGCTGTTCCTTGTTATGGGGCTCAGATACTACCATTAGTTTGACCAACCTTGGCTATTATGGAGGAAAGCAGAGGGGAGTTTTTTAACCCCCTGGTGTGAGAACATTTTCTCCACATGATCAAAATATGGCCTCCATACACCTCAATGCATTTCTCACAATTGAATAATAGAGACCTTTCTGCTAGCTGATAATCTTGCAATAAACTTGGGTAATGCTATATAAAAAGTACTCTTTGGTAGCTAGTCTAAAAGAGTAGTACTGAGGCTTCACCTTGCAGCTAGTGGAAAAAAAAATGGTGAGTTGGTCATAAGAAAAGGAATGGGGATTTAACAGAAAAGAGCAGGAATTGAAAATGCACACTATGATTTTTGAAGAAGTGATTTCTAAAGGGCAGCAAGATGACCCTAGTGCTTGAGGGATAAAAGGGATTACAGAAAAGAAAACCTCCAATATATTACAGAACATTCTTCAAAAGCCAAGCATCTTGAAAGTAAGTGTGCATTTCAGGTAATTCATAGATTGTTAGGTTTTAAGCATAAATGTTAGAATTAATATAATCTATTACTACTACTGAATTATATGCTGTTATAACTTTTAATTTCTTGTATTTTATCTCTGGTCTCATTTCTTATTACTTGAACGTTATAAGGATACTGTGCAAAGTCATAATTCTACAATGCATGTCTTCACATAGAAGTGCTTACATTGTTTTCTTATGATTTTACCATGTGTTCTACTGTTGTTAGAAAGCACTACTAACATGATTCTGCTGGTTCCTTTGCCTTGTCATCTTGGAGAAAGAAATTTGCAGGCAACTCCTTTGCTATTGCTCTGTCACCCACACTGTAACTCCAGCTGCCATGCTTTGCTGCAGAAGTTTTTGCATTTCAAAGAGCGTAGCTTCATTCACCTGTACTTCTTCCAATTTCAGAACATTCTGGGCATCACCCCACAAGCTGCAGGCACTAGCAAATCCCAGATTCCTAACTTCTCTCCTACAGCCTCTTCTGCTGGCTGTTTTTCTGTTGCATGAATAAAGCTGTGCTTTGGGCACCTGTTATGCAGCCTGCTGAGGAAAACTTAGTAACTGGTCAGGTGGACAAAACTGCTTAATTATGACTTTCCAAGACTTATAAAACAGAACTGAGATGGTATTTACTGAAGAGATTCACCAATGGCAAAAAAAAAAAAAGTCTCAGATGGAAATTAGCTTGAGAATAATTAAACTGATTTAAAACCACCACTTTATTTTCCACATACCTTCATCTGCAACTCAAAAATACTGATCTGAAGCTACCATTAACAGAACAGATACACTTCTGAACTTCCAGATGCCATTTCTGACTCTTATTCTAAGGCATTTATTTCATAACATTGTCAGCTGGTAAAGCTTATTCCTTGTGGAGAAGGTTTTGTCATCAAGATAGCCAGGAGGGCTGGGAGCACAGACTTACTTAAATCAGATCTTTTGTTTCCTCTTCTTTTTCTATCACTTTCTTTCAGGAAAACATTTTCCAAACCCTTAAGCTGAGGTACTGTGGTTTTAGAATCTAACTGCAGGCAGTATGAGATCATTCAGTAGTTTAAGTTTATCTGACTTTTCTAGGGGAGAAATTCTCCATTACATGCTAAGTGTGATTCAGAATGCCTTTCTGCAAAAATAACTGGTTCAAAACTGGATTGATCTTGCTATCAGGAGGAAACTTGTTTTGCGGGTGAACGTGGAAGTGGGAGCTGCAAATATATAGTACTTTCTTCATGCTCTTTTCTGAATGATTCATGTTTTGCAGTTTGCATAGGCCGAATACATGCTACCAAGCTCTGAATTTGCAGAGAGCATGTTGGGGACTACAGCTTAATTGTCTCCATCCACTCCCTGTGCACATAAATAGATGACACAGGAAATGCACTCTGTCGTCTTTGGTCATTAAATCAAATGGATCCAGACTGATATTGAAATCTTGTGTGGCTAAGCTGAAAAAATTCTTACGAAGAAAACAACATAAAGGAACTATAGCGATCTGTTAGTCTGTGATGATACTCATGAATACTTCAACTCCTTTTGTGGACATTCAGAGGAGCCACAGCATGATACATCTGGGTGAATCAGTTCCAGTCTTGCCACTCTTTTCAGTTGCTGCCCCCATTGGTGTCCCCCCTCCTTGGCAGCAGTTCAATTGATGATCATCAGGATAGTTTTTTCCTACTAGTCACCTTTTAAATGGGATTTCTGAGGCAAGTTCTCTTTTTGCTGTGTTGTACTGCAGCTTTGGCACCAATATGCAAGGTATGAACAGCTGTCTCACAAGCTAAGTCAGGCTATACCTTTCCTCTGTATTGTGCTTGAGGATTGCCAGAAAACTGTGCCTTTGTCATGTCAAGGCTCACGTCAGTTCCAAAAATATTACAGTTTGAACTCGAACAACAGTTAAATAATATGTGGACCATTTTGAGAATACTTGTAGGCAAATGTTATGGGTTATTCTAAGAAGCTACTGCTATGCAATTTCAGTATGAATTGTTTTTCTTGGGTGTTCAGACTATTTCATGCTAAAAAGGCAACACTAGTAACCTCTGAAGGCATTTTATTATCACTTCTTAGTTTAATTCAGATTGCTTTCCAACAGTCAGAGTTTTCCCTCACTTTTCACCATCAGAAAGCTGGTAGATGGTACTCAGCACACAGTTTTGTGTACCTGCAACGTTTACTTTCATAAACTATGGTGAGAGGAGATGTTTTAGTCTTTTCCAGTGTTTTCAGGTCAGTGATAATCAAATGAAAACTTATGCGCAGACTGAAGCAAAACATCACTGTCTGTGATTTGTCATTCTATATTAGCATTTTCATGCTAATTTTCATTACACCAATCTCTCAGCTCAGTTGGAGTCGCCCAGTACTGGTTGCCCAGGACTGTGTCCAGGTGGCTTCTGAATACTTCCAAGGAGGGAAATTCCAAAGCTCTCTGTGCAGCTCTCGTGTTTCAGTTTGTACCCATTGCCTCTTGTTCTGTCATTGGGCACCACTGAAGTGAGGTTCTATCCTCTTTGCACCCTCCTTCAGATATTCATACACACTGATATGATCTCCAACTAAGTCTTTTCTTCTCTAATTTGTACAATCCTATCCTCATAGGGGAGATGCTCCAGGCCCTTCGCTGTCTTCATGGCACTTTGTTGGTCTCTCCCCAGTATTTCTTATGTCTCTCTTGTACTGGGCAGTCCAGAACTGGACACAGCATTTCAAGTGTGGCCTCAGCTGTGCTAGATAGTGGGGAAGGATCACCTTCCTTGGCCTGCTGGCATTAGTGTACCTGATGCAGCCCAATTAACCTTCTTTAAGGCAAGGGCATGATGACAGCCTGTGTTCAACTCTGTCTAGTAAGACCTCCAGATCCTTTTCTGCAAAGCTGCTTTTCAAATGTACTTGTGCCTGGGGTTGTTTCCAGGCACTGCAAGATGAGTATGTCCTCTTTACCCATTTATTTCACTGTTCCATGCTATCCTACACCATCCCAGAAATTCTTTCTTCATATCAGGATCTCAGCAGTGCCCTCTTCCCTCCTAGTCTGATCCTATCTTTGCTGATAACAATTCCAACCTGAGAATCCGGAGAGTGGAATCCTCTCTAACCAACAAGCTTTGTCATGTTCCCAGTACTTCTGACGCCCCAGACAAAGCCTTCAGTCCAGACCTTATGTACAGAAAAATACTTAATAATTGATTTAGTTTGTTTAACTCTAATATTTTAAAGAAGGATTATTCCTCAATTGCTCTATTCCTTGGGCCTTTTCCCAGACTTCTAACAACCTGTAGTGCCAGCATCTCTAATAGGAAGCACTGCCAATTTCAACCTCTTATTAACCAGTCATCTCTTACTCGCAAGACTTCATTTCTTTCATGTGCCTTATCATCCAGGAGCCAGCAGCTGCCTTTCATCCCAAATTTCCTCCTCTGTCGAAAGCTCTGCTGTGATCTGAGATTGAAGCTAAGCACAGATGAGAGACCAAAGGCCTCCATCAGTTTCTCTTGGCTTGCCCTCTGACATGGGCTGCCCCATGCCAGGATGAAGGATTTTCTTTCTTCCTTTCTTCCTCATTGCACAGGCTGGCAGTTAAGACAGATTTAGCTGTCAAATCAGATGATGTGATTACCCAAATTGCTTGGTTGTGGTTTCATTTCTCAAGTAAATGAAAATGTGAGGATACATACATACATGAATGAAGCAGAAGTAGAGTCTATAAATTATCCTTTAAAATTCAAGTGAAAACTCAAATATTTTGCATGGTGGGTAATATCAATTAGTTCTGAAAATGAGCAGCTACTGAATCTCTGAAACTGGGAAGCTAGTTTGGAAGATGTCTACCCAAGGCTTTAATTGCAACCAAATACTGGGAACAAGTTTTCAGAAATGGGAAATGAACCAGGATAACCTTTGTGACACGATTTCAAAGGGGCTGAGGAGATGCTTCTTATTGTCTTTAGAAACTGTATTGAGCTACTTGGTGTAATTCTGACATGGCACCATTGCTCCCTGCAGAGCTGAATATTCTCATGCCCTGTGCAGAATCTCCTTTGTGGGTGTGGCTTGTGCGTGGGGTGTGCTGCGTGTTGCCAAACTAAGTGTGGTAGAGTGGATGAGGTTTGGGCAGGCAAGATTTGTAAATGCATATTAGTTATTTGACAGCCTTGGACTGACATAGGGTCCTGGGCCTGAGTGGTTGGGAAAGAGGCCTGCCTTTTTGTTCTGGAAACCTTTCTGTATACCCAGTATTGATAAAAGACTTGTTTGCTTATCTATGTAGATCATGTGTCTGATGTTGCAGCAAAATTGTCACAAGAAGTACCCACCTTAGTTATGTTCTCTGTCTCCTTCATCCTCAATCAGGATGTTAGAGGATGCAAAATTGCTGTAAAGTTGCATTCTCCCATTAGCCGATGATTTCTGAGAAGCTCTTTGTTTATTCAGATAGCATGTACAAAGTCCAGGCAAAACATTTGATGGGCTAAAGCTGTGAAAAATGAGTGTGAAGGTACTGCTAAAACAATGGAAGTTGGTATAACAAACCTGTCTTATGGTCTTATTATTTCTTTCCTTTATATATATATATATATATATATAAAATTTCTGCTGGTTTAGCTGCAATTACTTAAAGGCTAATGGTCACTTATTATACTATGTGACTGTTGAAAAATACAATTTTTGTCTTATAGCAGTAATTTGAGAGGATTTGCTGGCATAAGAAAACTGCTTTCAAGTGGATATGAAAAGTTTTCTTAAATAGTCCTGTTCATTTCTCCAGAAGTATGCTGTAAGCCATTCTCTTTGAATCAGAAGCTCACAGTAGCATTGCATCTTCTGTAAAAGTGACACTTCAAACAAAGCCCGAAGCTTCAAAGCACTATCAAAGCACTGTTAAATGGTGAACATGTAATGTCTTCATAGATGGCTATCTTCTATAATTACCTGGAGTGAATTAAAGAATGGGTGCTGTTCCTTTTAGTGGAATAGATTGTTTGAATAACTGTATCATTTGAAGAGTTTAGTTGAAATCTAACTCAAAGACTTTTTTTTTAAAAAAGCATTAGTCTGAAATGTAGATATGTAGAACTGAAAAAGTCATTTGCAAGCCTCTGAGAGTAAGCCAAATCCAGAAAACCAATGTTAGTAGGTTTATGAATATAACTTCAATTTTGTACAATTACAAGCAGTATTAGGTCTCAAAGTAAATACTTCAGGATCCCTTCTATCATTTTCTTCCTGCCTGTAGATTTAGCTGATTGTTAAGTATGTTAAGTATCTTGCTTGGGATTTCAGAAAAGACAAGACTAATATTAGTGTCGTAACACTTATTAAAAGCAAATATTATAAATACTGTTACCTTCTGATGGTGTGCTGCTCTTGAAGGTTAGCTTCCTTTTCAGGTACTTAAATATTGTTGAAAAACTGCAATTTTGTTCAGCTAATAGGAGTTTGAATTGTTTTGCTGGAAGTCTTGTGCAGAGTCATAAGGAAGCAGGAATTTTCTTGCAGTTGTTAAACTATGTCTTGCTCTTCTGTGAACGAAATTCAACTGCTGTGCAAGTCTGTCCCTCACTGGCATATCAACTGCTTCAGTGGAATTAGCTCCCTTGTGCGCCTTAATCAGATTTGTTCACTTTGCTCCTGAACATAAAGTTCAGTTCAAAAACAAAAGCAGAGGAGGAGGTTTTCTTCTTTGTTTTTTTTTTCTTTTTTTTTTTTTTTTCAATAAGTGACTAGGGAAAG